ACTGTACATCACAGCTTGTTCCTAAGGATGCATTACGGTCTGGGCTAATGGGATCCGTTCCTGAAGAGCTTCTGAATGCCAGGGGCCTCCAGCTGATCAGTAGTCTGGTCTTTGATAGTGAGGGAATATTTTATTTTGTAATTTCACTGCCTTGATCAAATGACCTTCAATGTTTGCAGCAATTTACAGAAAATCCATTCGTTCCACATATTCAGTCACTTTTTGGCATTTAGCATGTGAGGAGATTTGTGCATGGTAGAATGCTGCTAAAGTTTTTTACTGTATGCATCATGACCATATGGCTGGTACAGTTTTTTTTTCTCGCAAGCTGCACTAATGTGCAATTAATTAACTTTGCAAATCTTAATTTTTGACTGCTACAAGACAAGACTTTGACTTTAGGTGTGTATAATTTCAGTTTTGAGTGTCAATAAGGATGTCAGAATGCGATACGATTGATCACCTAGTCAACACCCTCAATCGTTACAAAAATTTTAGATGTTTATCAAACCGTTTGACATGTTGACATCTTTGACAAAAGACTGTTGATGTTGCGCAGTCTGCAGTGGTTTCTAACCAAGATCTCACGGGGGTAATTTTGTATAATCTGACAAGAAACAGTAATACATTTTCTTTCTGCTCCTGCTAGTGCTTCTTTTTGGACATGTTATATGAACTATATTAAACTAACCTTTTAGAAAGTATGCACGATTATTTATTTCTTGAGCTTGACAGCCCCTGATCACCATTCACTTTCATAGTTGAACAATATTTTAGATGACACTATATTTTAAGGTGTCCTTGTCACAGTGTAATAATACATTTAAGTACTGAGTAATATTAATTAACTACATATACTTACTGTAGGGTTAGGGTTTGGTTTAGGGTTACTTACATGTAATTATGCATAATTTATTGTTATTAGAATAGTAAGTACATGTAACGTGTAACAAGGTTACCTTAAAATAAAGTGTTACCATATTTTATGTGCAATTACAGTGTACTTTACACAATAATGTACTATATAATATAAGGTGTAATATTTATTTTTACTTTTATTTTTAACTCTTTTGTGTAAAACTCTCCTGTTATTTAATCTGGGCACTCACATGATTGATTAAAGCTCAAAATATACAGTCAAATCCCTTGCCTTTCGAAATATACTCCATTTGATAGCATGCATGAACACAAGTGGTCGACACGTGCTTTAACAAGTTTAATTTTTGTCCAGTGTCTGCACTATTTTTCTCAAGAAGTTATGACTGATAAAAATGTCGTTGTGGTTATCTAATAACCCACTTACACAAGTGCTTGTCAATGTGGGTGTCTGTTTTTGTTGCTGCCACCTTGTGGAACAACAGATTAGTGCAAAACAAATTCAATGTGCATGAGCTACCTGGGCATACAAAGTACCAGCGATTACAAAAATCGAGCAGTGCGTGTACAATACGCATGTACTAATTTGGTGTATGTGGACCTTCGTTTATGCATAAAAACAATTTATACTTTGAGCTTTACTCTAGTAATAGAATGGGTTTCCATGCCTTGCTTTGCATGACTTTGTCAAGGAGCTACGGCATCTAACATTGCTTGGGCAATATTGCCTATCTCGCTCTAGAGAGAGGTGCATGCAAGCTTGGAGTGTTTGCTCTGTTATAATTTGGGGATACTGGGAATAAATGCTCTGCTTGTCCAAATAAGAAACAAGCCACTGAAGAACAAAGCTTGTCTTCTGGAAAACAGTAGAAACTGATAGACAGGTTGCCTTCTGAGTCAGGAGATCCAAAGAAGGAATCTATATTGATGGTTTATTTAGTGTTTTTTTTAAAACATGGTATTTTTTTTCTCCTTCCCCTTTATGTGTGTACCAAAGCAAATTTAATAGCAATGGCATTTGTTTTAATATGCAGAGGCTTGACTTGACTTGAGGGAAATAAAAATATTAGTGTCCATTTATCATATCGGCATGAAATATTCATAATATTCTGTTTTTGGCTACAGCAGAGAGTCTTTAATTTGTTGTGTTGCATGTTATAACTCACGTCTTAAAGCAGTAGAAGTGAAGTCTTTACCTAAAATGAGCTGAACAGTTTATTTTTATGCCTAAATGTTTGGTTTAAAATTGCTTATTAATGATACTAATGTTTGCCAGCCAAGGGCAATGTGTTTTATTAGTTTTCTTGGTAGTACTGTTGTTAATATTCCCAAATCACCAATTTTTAAACTAAATGTAAAGCTAAAGGTGAATAAAATTAGGTAATACCACATACTTTCTTTTGTTTTACGCCAATGTTAGTTAGTAAAGCAGCATACGTTGATTTTATACTTTATTAACTCCAGAAAAGTGTTTGTTGTGAATGAAAGTGAAAAACTGGAGAATAATGATTTGAAGTTATAATTAGCCTGAACCTAGTCAAATGTTGCCTATTGCGGCTTCCTGGAGCTGATAAATGCATTGTCAGATGAAACAAAGAGAAAAACTTTTGGGGAATTAGGGAGTTATATCAAATGCATGTGTGGTAATACTCATATATATGAGTATGTCTTCTCTCTCTCTCACACTCTCTCTCTCTCTCTCTCTATCTATCTCTCTCGCTATGATCATTACTGTATCATGGCACATATAACTTTAAAACTATTTTCTTCTACTGATATTTTAATACTAAGCCTACACACACCTTGACCTTTGCAAAAAAAGAAAAGAAAAAAAAGCAAGCTTTTGTGGAGATGTTGGGCAGAACAGAAAAAAAATTACAAGCACTAGGGATTGATGGATTACCACAGCATTATAAAGCTTTCTGGGGAGTATTTGAAAGACCTTTCCAGGGTTCTACAGGAAAATAATAAAGCTCCCACATGCTCCAAAATATGTCAGGGAGGAGTTATTTCTTTACTTTTAAAGATTGAAGACCTTTGCATACTTTTGGTGCATCCACAAATGTAACATTCATATTCACATTCATACATACCTTCACACTGGTGTTTTTCCCTCAACATTTAGACAGGCTCGTATAACCCCACTACTTAAGAAACCCACCCTTAACCCATCTCTTTTAGAGAACTACAGACCGGTTTCCCTTCTTCCTTTCATTGCAAAAACACTTGAACAAGCTGTGTTCAACCACGTCTCTGCCTTTCTCACACAGAACAACCTCCTTGACAGCTACCAGTCTGGTTTCAGAAGTGGACATTCAACCGAGACTGCCTTGCTCTCAGTTGTTGAAGCCCTAAGACTGGCAAGAGCGGCTTCCAAATCTTCAATACTTATCTTGCTGGATCTGTCTGCTGCTTTTGACACAGTTAACCACCAGATCCTCCTGTCAACCCTATTGGCACAGGGCATCTCAGCAACCGTACTCCAGTGGTTTGAGTCTTACCTATCAGATAGGTCCTTCAAAGTATCTTGGAGAGGTGAGGTGTCCAAGTCGCAACATCTAACTACTGCTGTGCCTCAGGGCTCAGTTATTGGACCACTTCTCTTCTCTATCTACATGGCATCATTAGGTTCTGTCATTCAGAAACATGGCTTTTCATTCCACTGCTATGCTGATGACACTCAACTCTACCTCTCATTCCATCCTGATGATCTGACGATAGCTGCTCGCATCTCAGCTTGTCTAACAAGACATTTCTTGCTGAATGAAGGACCATCACCTTCAGCTCAACCTTGCCAAGACAGAACTGCTTGTGATTCCATCAAACCCATCGTTTCATCACAATTTCACCATCCAGTTAGGGACATCAACAATAACTCCTTCAAAAACAGCCAGAAACCTTGGAATTATGATTGATGATCAGCTTACTTTCTCAGACCACATTGCTAAAACTGTCTGGTCCTGCAGATTTGCTTTATTCAACATCAAGAAGATAAGGCCCTTTCTTTCGGAACATGCTTCACAACTCCTTGTTCAAGCTCTTGTTCTGTCCAGGCTGTACTATTGCAATGCTCTCTTGGCAGGTCTTTTCAGCCAGTTCTATCAAACCTTTACAATTAATGCAGAACGTGGCAGCAAGATTAATGTTTAATGAGCCAAAAAGAATGCACATCACAGCCCTGTTTATCAATTTGCACTGGCTACCAATAGCTGCTCGCATAAAATTCAAAGCATTGATGTTTGCCTACAAAACCACCACTTGCTCTGCACCCCTTTACCTAAATTCATTACTTCAGACTTATGTGCCCTCTAGAAGCTTGCGTTCTGCAAGTGAACTTCGCTTTATTGTGCCATTCCAAAGAATAATATAATAATCATATAATGGCCAATATTATTTTAGTATTATTTATATATAAATAGTACTTATTAAAAATAAACATACAAATTTGAATAAGCTTTTATTGTTTATACTTTTAATTTTAGTTTTAGTCATTTTGTTATGTGCTTTCATTCATTCATTCATTTATTCGTTCATTCATTCATTCATTATTTTGTCTCTGAAGATACCTTAAAGTACACATAGGGCCTAATATAAGTGTGGATGCATTTACACATTTAAAGGTATAGTTTACCCTAAAATGAAAATTCTATCATAATTTACTCAGCCTGAAGCTGTTCCAAACCTGTATGAGTTTATTTCTTCTGTTGAACATAAAGGAAAATATCTTGAAGAATGTGGATAGATGTTGGTGAGTAAAACATTACAGAATTTAAATTTTTAGGTGAACTGTCTCTTTAAATCTAGAAGATGCATCACTTCAAAAACCTCATATGTACTGCACTGTATACACACACACACACACACACACACTGACTCTGCTAAGAGGTCTCAAGAGTGTATCATTTCCAAGTGCAAAGCTCTGCAGAGCTCAGCAGCCAAGGGAGATCTCATTAAAAGATGCCATGACTCTCCAAATCCACTGACAAAAAAATACAAAAATGCTTCCATTTAAAAGTGTAAATATTCTCTCTTTTATGATATTGTTCTCTTTTTCGCACAGAGTTACAGATTCTCATTGCTCTTATTTAAGCTGTGGATACTAAGAGGCATTTTCATATACTCACTCTAACACATCTCTGTTAAACGGCTTCTTGCTGTTGCCAAGAAACTCGCCGATCATCTGTCGGCTTAGCCCCTTCCTCTGGAGCAGGAAATGTGCCACACCTATAGGCGTATCCGGAATGAACCCACGAGAGATGAGAAACTGGAGGCCTTTGTCTGGATTTCTGTTTGATGCACAGAGAAAGAGATAAAACAGAGAGAGAAAAACTGTCAAGAGCACTGTTAAAACTTTAACCCAAGTACATACAGTATTGGATAGGCATTAACTAACAATATTGATATTATAATAGTACAACAGGATTTGTATTGTAATTGCATTGGATTGTACCAGAAAAAGTAAAAAAAAATCTGCTATTCTGTTTGGTGGCAAAGTTAAAAAAAAATGAGCCACTACTCAAATTAATTTTAGACAAAATTGACTATTCAAATTCACTAGTCAAAATTGCATTTTTTATGTCAAAGACACCACAATTTGATCTAAAAGAGAAAGATGAGCGGATTGGTCTAGTCACTGCACAAATCTATTGTATGACTTCACAAGATGGGCAAAATAGTGCATTAGTTATAAGTATATCATCCTCTATGGTGTTTATTGTCATTTAGGAGCTTGACAGGTCCAATACTTATTTTACAACATAAATATTATTTTCAAAAAATTATGTGTTCCAAAGGAAAAAAAAAATTTTTTTCTTTACATTTTTTAAAATGTTTTGTTGTTATTATTGGATATAAAGATGTAAAATATATACATGACACTTGAAAAAAGACATATTCTCATTCCACAGAAGCCAAGTGGGTATTAATAACCAAAATTTTTCTATGCAGTGGCTTATCAATAACCAGAATGTCAACGCTTTCCTGCCTTCAGACAATAAAAGTGACAATGGGGGACAGAAAGAAGCTTCTCGGCTGTACTTTATAGAGTTGCTTTATTCCTTCAGTCAGCATTCTCATCGCTAAGTCTTTGCCCTGGGAGAAAAAAGTACATGGATTTATAGAGGGTCCACTAAACTTTCATTCATCCACATGCTGAGAGAACCGTGCATTTCTGGTTTGCCTGACTACATTCTACAATCTCCCTATTTCACTCTATCTTCCCTATTCATTGCAATGATTTACTCCTCATAATAAATGTACAACCCCTGCCGATACTGTCTAGCTTTACTGAGGGGAACATAATGTAGTTTATGAACAGTCTGTTTGTCAGTTACAATAAAAGGCCTGTCACTATGTTTTATTTTAAAGGAATTGAAATTATATGCAATAGTGTGATATGTGGTTCTGAATAGGTTGTGCTGTTTTTATTTGGTCTATTTATCGTGATGGGAAAACAGTGTAACGATGGGCTCGTTCTTAAACAAGTTAAATGGCCATAAAACATCTCTAATGTGCACCTGTTTTTTTGTTTTTTTGAAAATGGTTGCAATTCTAGCAGAAAACTATTATACAAATGCTGCTAATTGGATTAATAAATGCTGCATAATATTCCGCTCATCTGGGTATCACAGACTCACTCTCTTTTGTTTCATGCAAACTCAACTACTGCCTACTATCGTGTGTCTCTGTAAAAGTTATCAATTGACTTCAGTATTAATAATATTTCAGATTTATTAAAATATGCTTTTTTCATCTTTTTTTTTGATATGCAGGATGATTGTTTTCTACACTGCAATGGATTATAAGGTAATAAACAGGTAAGATTTTAAAACAGTCAATATCTCTTGTCCCTATAATTATTTATGTGGTGAAAAGCAGTGAAAAAAAAGGGGTATGACTGTGCCTTATCCCTTAAATGTTTGCCTAATTTAAACTTGTTTATTTGTCTTGGGTTAAAGCCACTCGATATCAACTGTTTTTTACACGGAAGCTTTGCTTTTAGTGAGCTAATAAAATATTTCAACTCAAAAGCTAAACATCTGATCATCAGATCTTAAAAGATGAAAATTCATAACGAACGATAAACATTTAGCATTTATTGTGTGGAATGTATTCAAATCTGGTAACACTTTATTTTAAGGTGTTCTTGTTACACATTACATGTACTTATTATTATAATAACACTAAAGTATGCATAATTACATGCAAGTAACCCTAAGACAAACCCTAATCCTAACCCTAACCATATAGAAAGTACATGTAGTTAAGTAATATTACTCAGTACTCAAATATATAATTACACTGTAACAGGGACACCTTAAAATAAAATGTAACCCAAAATTCATATATATCAAATAAAAAAAAACACTACAACACAATAAGATGTAGAATTAATCAAATGTTATTCTACTTGATTGGAGCGTAAACAAACAGTAAGTCCACAAAGAGAATGCTTGAGATGTAAGAAGACAAGTTTTTGAAGAAGAAAAAAAAAACTTCTTATTGTGGATTCTTATTGTGCTCCAATAAAGCTGCAATTATGCACCTAGGGTGAAAATATAATTCAGTTGTGTGTATTAAGGATGCATAATCTCCTAACCAAATGCTTAACAAAACAAAGGAGTCTCCCATTTTATAAAAAAAAAAAGTCATAAAAAGACGTCCACCATATGTTATTATTACGAATGACAATATTTACAATAAATGCAAAACAAGGTAGATGCTATTTTGCAAAAGAAGATGCTGAAGCGATTGATAGAATAAATGTAAATATAAACAAATGTAATCTTGTTTACATTAAGTGCAAATCGTGATAAATGCAATTTACATAAAATACTGTATTTGTAGAAGTAATATGCTGTTTGTACTAAGGGTAAACTGTCTGAGCAACGATGGCTTGGAGCAAAAATTGCCTTTGGCAACAAGGTTGGCTGTTTGCACTTAGTGTGAAAAGACACTGCGATTAAATAAACCAGTGAAGGTGTGAACAGTATGTTTTAAGGGATTGTATTTTCTTAAAGTACACAGGGCCAAAAGTTGAAAAAAATACCTATCTTCACATCCAGATAGACAGAAAGAGCTTTTGCGACAAGTAACTACATAAAGTTCACCTGACACTCAACTAACATCTGTGCTCTGATTCTATTCTGGTATTGTAAGGCAAAAGGGGGCAGGTGAACTGCAGGTATAAGCCCTGCATAAAACATGACACTTACATGACAGATAGAGGCACCTTACGGTCATGGCCAGTCTCCTATACTTACACATAAACAGAATCTAACATCTGTGTTGAATCCCACACACAATCTCCTCGCTTTCTTTTCTCCTCTCACCTGCTGTTTTCCTCTCTTTTGGGGAAAAGATACATTCCCATTCTGTTCACGAGGCAGGTGAAAACTCAATTTAGAGCGTTATACTCACTCTGCTTACCAACCGTCCTTCGTTCACACATCAGTGTCCTCTATATGTCCTTTACATGCTCTTTCCAACAAATACAGGCTCATAAAGCCCCCCACAATCCTCCTCCTTTCTTAATTATCTGTTTAGGGAAAGCACATTCTGGTCCCCAAATCTCTCTGTTAATCCAAACTCAGATTTCGGCATCTTGTCTCACACACACACACACACACACCTGCTTTGGATTCAGTCTGAGCTGTCACAGGTATTAGGCTACCCTGCAGAAAATGAACTGCTGGAACTAATGACAACCCCTCTCTTTTTTCCACTCGCTCTCTTGGAGCAAAACCTCCATTTGATTAAAAATTGCCTTATCCTTATCTGTTGGGGTGTTTGAGGCGATGAAGTCTGAGTAAAGGAGAGACTGGTTTATTTTTATTTTGCTTTCTTTGATAATGTTAAAAGTAGGGCTGTCGATTAATTAGCAGATTTAATCTAATTAATTGAATCAGCTGCTAGTTTAATCAAAGAAATCACTGTATTTGATGAGAAAAGCCCCCAAATTAAGATAAATCAAAGAAAAACCAGCCCAATCTCACGCCAATTCGTACATATTTTACGAGGTGGCTAATTTGTACGAATGCGTACGACCTCACTCGTACAAATTCATATACGATTTTTGCTAAATCGTGCGTATTTTACGAGTTGCACAATTCGTATGAATTTGTACGAATGACCTACACCTAACCCCACCCCTAAGCCTATCCATCACTGGGGTTTTAGACAAATCATACAAAATCATACGAGTGAGGACGTATGAATTCATACGAATTAGCCACCTTGTAAAATACATACGAATTGGTTTGTGATATAGCATTGGAAAAACTAATTTTTGAAGTACTGTGTATGGATGTTTTAGAAATCCAAGCATGTTTAGATATGTTAATGTTGTTATGACGAGTGGAGGCGGGGCCGAGAGCCGTGGGAACGGAGCGAGGCCGGTGGAGTAATTGATAATGAGCGACACCTGCACCACTCACCGGTCTCGAGTCCCACGGAGGAGCTCCGGAAGGATAAAAGGAGGAGTGATGACAGTGAAAGGAGAGAGAAATCCAGGCCTGGTCCTCTCTCGTCCAACACTGTCGTCACTCCTCCTTTTATCCCTCCGGAGCTCCTCCGTGGGACTCGAGACCGGTGAGTGGCGCAGGTGTCGTGCATTAGCATTTACTCCACCGGCCTTGCTCCGTTCCCACGGCTCTCGGCCCCACCCCCACTCGTCACAGTTGTGTTAATACATAAATTAATAAATATGTTAATGTTTTAAAGCTTCTGAGTAAGATATAATGACACGTTTCAGTGTTTCTGCAGGCTGAATGCAACTGTAGTGTTTTGTTTGTGAACTAATCAGTTTTTTATTCATTCATGAACGACTGTCTCTATATTCACTCAAATTGGTTAAGTGAATGATCAAATGACTCACTTGTTGTCAACTACTGACCTAAGATGTAACCTCTAGAAAGGGTCACCTATATATATATATATATATATATATATATATATATATATATATATATATACACACACACAAAAAAAATTTGTATTTGTTTTTAAGTTGAATTATATTTAGAGTTCAAGGAAATTCAAGAGCTTGTGGATTATATTTACTTTATTAAATATATCTGGTATTTTGTTCAGAATGATTCATTAGTGTTGTTCTCAAAGATAAAATGTTTTAAAATAGTTTTTTTTTATGGTCCAATCAACTCCTAATGACTATGAGAATCATGAGACCAGCAATAGAAGAGCTTGAAATCAATGATGGAGTTAAAACATCATACGTTTGCTTTAGACTCTCACTATAAACATTTACACGAAAAGCCATTACCTCTTC